AATCTGAATCTCCCTAGATCATTCCAGAGATAATTATTGGCTTAAAACCATTGCCTCCCTATACCTCCCTGCCCCACCCCACGCCCTGCATACACAGCTACACCCCTCATGAGTGGAACAGAAAGGCTAGAAACTGGAAAGGAAAAGAATGGATGTTGTTCTCTGAACTTCCATGCCTTCCATATCCCCAGATGGAACCTGGCAAATTGGCTTTGGATGCTAAAAAGCATTTTGTAACTCCAGCCCAGATTCAAACAGAAAGCAAACTAATTCCACCTCCCTCCTCATACACACACTCTTTGTTTACATTCCAGCTTCCTAGTTTAGAGAGCAGTGTCGCAAAACTGAGGAAAGATCTCTTATTGGGCAAATCTGGCTCCCAGATGCATGGCCTCATAGGAATAGGAGCTTGGCATAGCACAAGCCTTTCAGCTGCCATGCAGAGAAAAAAGTGGCCTGCCACTGCATCTGGCAAGCATTGTAGGCATCGAGTGGTGAACTCGCTCAGCTTGAGAATCCTCATGCCAACTGGCAGGAAAAGGGTTGGAGTGGGGGATGGAACGGCCCCAAAAGGGGAAGGTTGCCTAGGAGATCATATTCCTCGCCTAAGGCAAGAATATGAATAGAATCTTAATGACCTCTATGGCAACCAGGTTTGGAGTCTATATCTGACTGTAAATTTCATGTGTGACCTTGGGGAAATCACCTCTGTTATTGGGAGCTGTGTTATTGGACCTTTTCTCTATAATAGAAAAGAATGAATCAAAAGTTGCAACCAGGATGCTTCTGAGCCAGATCTGGTCAGTGAATGTGCTTGGGCAGGCCAGCACAATATTTTTTGTTGGTTTTTCTGTATACTTAGAATGCGTTATTCTCATTTGCTTTCCAGCTCATCACAGTTTTCATTCTTCACAGTGATATCGCTATCCACCTTATTTCCAATATCCAGCTGGTTTCTAAAGACTTTTTTTTTTTGGTGTGGCTTTTTAAAATTGTTATCATTGGTTTGCTTACAGAGTTCATATACATTGTATTTCACACTATTCTTCATTCACATTGTATTCCCTAACAATCATTCTCATGCATTATGTTTTAGAAAATTAATCACCATTGGATCTTGCCCATCATTACCCTATCTTTTCACTTAGATCCTTCCCATTTCCTTCTCCCCCCTCCCTCCACCCACCAAACTGTGTAACCCTTTTAACCTTAGAGTTCTTATAACTAATGTGCTGTTATAACTCTACACATTGGCCTCTAATATCACCACAGCAATAGAGAGATCCTTGGGGGAAAGATGTGGTGGTCTGCCATGCACTCAGCCACAAAGGGCTAGTGGATCAAAAATTAACAGGTACCACCTAAGGCAACACTTGGATAGCTTTTCTTAAAGCAGGGCCCCACCCCCAAAGAATGTGGCCTATTGGATATTTATGACTTCTGATCCTCAATTGCTTTGATCATTAAATGGACAATATTCCCTCTTTGAACAGTGAACAAGCCACACGGGGTCAGGGGCCTGGGCTCAGCCATTGTTCTGCTTAGATTTTTTAAATGAATTAGTCTTTTGTGGAAATTGGAGCCAAGTTACATTCCTTCCTGTGTGATTAGATAAGCAGTTTCAGGGAAAGGTTTTGGTTGTTTTTTTTTTTTCTTTACAAGGAACTTCCCCTAACAGAAAGCCCCTCCATTTATTTGTGTGATCTCTGCCAAACCCTAAGAACTTTCCTTCTTACTCAGCATCCAGAGAGGGACCAAGAGAGATCCCTTTTCAGATCTCCAGTCATTCTCCCTCACCCTACTCCTATCCCTGGTGTCGTTTGTGAGATGGCACAGATTAGACTTCTGTGTGAAGAGCTACGATAGTGAAGATATATATATTTAAGTTAGAGGTCCAGAATCTCATTGCTTACTCTATTCACCATGATTTCCAGCTGTAAGCCTTTACCAGGGAGCTCATTCCATGTCCTAGTCCTAGCCAAAAACACACTAATGTTGGCCCTGGGATCTTTGCAGAAACAAGATCTTCTGGGATTTCCTATGAGTCTTTAGCAGAACTGGGTGTGTATGTCCTTGTGATGAGCTACCCTCTCCATAGTCTTACTGAAATCAGGGGAAGTGACCAGATGTTCAGATTTCAAAGAGCTTTTCAGGTGAATATCCGTATCTATTCTAGGCAAAAATCAACAAGACTTCACGTTTTCTCTTAGGAAGTAAACAAATGCGATCCTGGGTAGTGAAATGGAAATCTGAATTTTGTTGGTATTGACCTAAATGGAAGTGATAGATCTTTAAGGAGTTGGCCTCCTGTCTCATCCACATACCTTAAGTTAGTAATACTGGCTTTGGAGATTGATTAAGACGAACAAGATCTTTCGTGAGCAAAAGTTTGTGATTTCAGTAACTGTGAATAGATGAATTCTAATGAGCTGCCTTAGGGTAAGAAAACACAAACAAGTGGATGTTAGAAAAAGCAGAGGAAGGATATAGTTTTGCCCCTTAAGTATATTCGTTTCTTTGCGTTTCCCCCTAAAGCCCACCTTTGTGCCTTAGTTTAAAAATATTTTTACTTACCGCTTAAAGAAGAATATATGTGCCTTTGTGTAGATTCTATCTTTTGATTTTCTGATTGCTTTTCCTCTGTTATTCTTGTATTGGTAGAAAAAATACTGGACAGATGCAGGAATTGGGGGATCTGGGTTCTAGAATTATTGCAAATGCTAAGTTTTTAGTCTGTCTGCTTAAAAAGTCTCTCTGGGCCAGTTTTTTCTAGATTTTATGAAAATACTAATTAGATGCACTGGACTAGGGTAATGTCAATTTTATGAATAATAAGACAATAATCTCTTTGCATCACACACATTTATATGAAAGTAACAAAGTATGTGCAGAAATGGTATGCTTTGTGAAAGGACCTTCACCGGATTCAGTGATGCCCAAGCTTTGGTATCATGCTTGTGGCATTTGTCATCACTGTGCTCCACCTGAATTATGAATTATTTAATACTCTTGTGAGATAGTTAGAGAGTTGTGCTGCTAAAGCCAGAGGTGACACCTTTCTGGGAGAAAGATGGACAATCTCCTCCCAGCTTCTGAATACCCACTGGACGTTCAGCTGTAAGTCAGTTCTAACTGAAACCGAAGGAGTTTGAGGTTTTTAGTTTTTCTAACTAGAGTACCTCGAGTTAATACTGTTATTTTAGTTTGGTAGGTCAAATTAAGCCTGTCTGGGGAGAAAGTTTGTTTCATATATTTATCCTTAGACAGTGGATCTAACTGATATTTTCCTTAAAACCTACTGGAGGGGGCTATGTTTTTTTTTAATCTTAAAAATGTCTACCTTAGTTTCACCCCTAGAATAGTATCTATGGAGTCACAGGTTTAATGTGTTAGGTATGTCTCTTTCCAATACATACTGTTGTTGTTCATTGCTGTTGAATGAGTACCGACTTATATCTGACCCTCCATTTTTTTCTTCCTTGAGGCAGTTGATGGATTTGAACCAGGTATTTTGGGGTTGGTGGTGCAGCTCTTTTCCACTAGGCTACAAGATCTCCCTAATACACATTAAGCTTCTTAAATTTTCATTTCTTTAACATCCGCTTAAAATCAATTTGTGTACCCATTCTTTGGGAGTGTGTCTTCATACTTTTTTAGGACCTTGCTCCAGTTCCTCACTTTCAGATGTTGAAACCAAAACTTGAAGAGATGAAATAACCTGTTCATTATCACAAAGCAGGTTGTAGGGATTGGCACAGGATAGATCAGGGTATAGGGCTGTTGTAGACCAAATTATTTTCCTGGGACATTATTCCTTTTAAATATGTCACTTTTCTAACAAAAAGAATGAACTCGAGTTTGCAGGAGGCGGGCTTGGTAGCAGCTATGGCGTCCATTTGGGTGGTCTGGATCTTTGTGACCCCCAGGGGTTTCCTCGGTTGGATTTTGCAAGTCGATCCCCAGGCTTTTCTTCTAGCCCATCTTAGTCTGGAAGCTCTGCTCCACCCCACCCAGCAGCTCACAGGCCTCCTGACAGGTGGTCACTGCACCAGGTGAGGGAGGGCACCCAGGGTTCCAGCAGGGAAAGCAAGACTTCTACCGCTGAGCCATCACCACCTGGAGGAGGCTGGTTGATAGGCGGGTGGAAGTTCAAGCTTTGGGGTGGGCTCTGCATGGAACATCTGCTGGGGCTTCACCTGTCAGCATCTCCTCAACTGTGGAATGGGGCAAGTGGCAGGACCTTCCCTGCTGAAGGCTCAGGCAGCTGTGTTTATGAACTGTGCTGCTCAGAGTATCAAGAGGGCAGAACTTTATGGAGGCCTCGGGAGACATTCAGGAGAATGCCATATTGGGCAGGGGACAGTAACAGGGAGGCATGGGGCAGTATCTAGCTCTCCTACAACCTAAGGATGACTTAGAATGCCCCCCCCAGTCCACCCCTGTGGCTGGACCCCAGCATCCTCAAGCTGAGCTCCTGATAATCAGGCCGTCAACCCCCACCCCAAATGGAGACCACCTTTCTTCACAGTCACTATTTATTCTTCATTCCTATTTCTTTTCATAAGAAACACAAAAATCAGTGCAAAAAAAAAGAAATATGTGTATATCAAAGAAGAAACATTCTTTTTTTAGGGAAGACAACATAGTCACAAATCAATAAGTGGAGGGGTTTTAGTTTTAGTTTTCCCATTTGGCATTTGTGTCTTATTTAGTAAGTTTACTTTCATCAAGTAAGCATCTCAATCAGGATTAGGAACTGAGTGCACTCTACTCATTTATAAGATGATCATTTCTGCCCTATGATATCACAGAGCTACTTTGAGACACAAGTAAGGTAATGACCATGAGAATCACTGCCACAGAGACCTGGTTCCAGTAGTGGGGGGATTCTGTTATCAGAGAAGATAAAATTGAATAGAGCACGTCTAGATAGCTTACCTAGTTCTGGGTATTCCCAATTCTTATTTCCCATAACTGTCTATTTTTTTTTTCTTTCCTAGATCTACTACTATGAAGATGGACAGGCTGAAGTCAATAAGAGATTTAAAGAGCGAATTATAGGGTCCTCCCAACCAGGTAATGCATCTATCACCATCTCTAATATGCAACCAGAAGATACTGGAATTTACATCTGTGATGTTACCAACCCACCAGATGTTTTTGGCAAAAACCAAGGCACCATCAGTGTCAGTGTATTAGGTAAGGACCTTTTTTTCCCTGGTTTTCTCTTCTGGGAGACACTGAATGAGCCAGGGTAGTGTGTTATGGTTTCAATTTAGTCACTGCGATATCCTCCCTTCGTCTTTTATTATCAGGGAAATTGGAATATATTACCAGATCAACCCATACCCAAAGACTGAGACGTCACTCAAGAAACATGTTGGAACAATTGTCAACCTAAAGATGTCACAGTGATAGAAAATAGTAGATGACCAGGGATTCAGGGATCTCTATCTCTGATGGGTGGAATGAGAGAAGACAGGACAATTCTTACTCTCACTAGATTATTTTTAGCCATTCTTTTAAAGGAAATTTCCATTTAAAGCCAGTTTTACCTGGGAGACAGTTTCAGTGTCATTCAAAAAATAACAGAAGGGCCTTTACCTACTTTACCCCACTCTACTTCCATTATATACCTCTCCTTACGTCTTGTCCAAACTCCTACAATTAAATTATTTTTCTGTATAAAGTCAGAAGGCTCCCTTTTAGAACGGGAATAGAATAGACATGGAGCAATTCCAACCTGGAATGAATGGACAGCTAGACAGTAATGGGCAGTGCAATCAATAATCAGAAACAGGACAGCCATAACAGATTGAATTTAGAGGAGGAAGGGGAGAAGGAGAGAAAGTGGTGGGAGGGGGGAAAGAATAAATAAAGATTTATCCACAGATAGAAACAACTATGGAGATTTGACCAGAAGTGACAAGAGGGGCAGGGAGGGAGCAGAGATTAGAGAATGAAAGGGTAAGGGGAAGAGAAATAGTACAATGAGGTTTCTACTATTGTTATGTGAGTCAGCTATGTATGACTCACAGAGATCCTATGAACAACAGATCTGAACCCTTCCTATCCTGTGTCACCCTCCCTGTCTCCAACACACTTGAGCTCATCGCTACAGTCACTGTGCCAATACATCTTGTTGAGGGTCTTTCTCTGACCCTCCACCCTTCCAAGCATAAGGTCCTTCTCCAAGGACTAGCACCTTCTTACATCATGCCCAAAGTATGTGAGACAAGGTTTCGATTAGGATGCAAATGATGGCATTATATAATAATTACTGTTATGAAATTAAATATATATAAGTGAATTAATGACTGAAGGAAAATTACTAAAAATAAGTGGTTTTTTTTTTTTAAAAAAAACACCCAACTTGTAAATGCCGCTTATAGAAAGGACTATACAGGCTGCTTCTTGGAAGCAAGGATTCTGAGGCTGCTTCTGACATACTTTGGGCATGTTGCAAGAAGGGACCTGGACCTTGGAGAGGGACATCATGCTTGGAAGGGCGGAGGGACGGAAAAAGAAAGGTAGGCCATTAATAAGATGGGTTAATACAGTGACTGGGGTAATGACAGTAAAGTTGGCACAGGATAGAGCCGGTTGTACATAGGTTGTATAGGGCCGTTGTACATATGGTCACTATGAGTCATAAGTGACTCGACGGCACATAACTACAGCAACAATACTTGAAGGCAGTGATGAGAATGGATTTATGTGCAAATATTCAATATATAACTTTAGGTAAGACTTATTCCCTCTTAAAATTAATTTGGAGTAATTCTATTATTCTACCAGTGGTTATTTATTGAGTGTCTGCTTTGTGGAGCTATGAGGTTTATGGTGATGGAGAGATAAGAGTTTCGGTCCTTATGGAAGCTCAAAATCACGGTCATTTCCAAAGCTCCTTTCTACCTTTGGCTGTGAGAGAGCAATGGAAGCTTAGTTCCTGTCAGCAAGTTCTGAAGGGATGGTTGAAAGAGCTTTTAACGGCACTTTCTGAAAAAGTTGCAAATAGAAATACCATTTGACCCAGAAATTTCACTACTTGGAATATACCCCAAAGAAACCATAACCTCCACCCAAGTAGATATATGCACACCCATGTTTATTGTGGCTTTGTTCACAAGAAACAACCTAAGTGCCCATCAACAAACTAATGGATAGAGAAGCTGTGATATATTCACACAATGGAATACTATGCCGCTTTGAAAACCAAGGAACTCATGCAATATTATTCAAAATGGGTGACCCCGGAGGACATTATGCTGAGTGAAATATCTCAATCACAAAAGGACAAATACTGCATAGTTCCACTGTTGTAAAATGAGACTGACATAGAGGTTGGGGGTGGGGGGAAGACTGAGAAAGATGGGATAAATTATGTATATTTCATTGATGAGAGAGAGAACTGTTTTAAAGGTATATATGATTAGATATTATTGTCACGACAGGAGTCCAGAACGAAGGCTGCATAGTGGAGTGCACTTGGGGGGAGGGATTGTATAACAATGAAAGAATTTTTCTTTTACTTTTCAAAGAGAAGAACAAACTGGAGGGGAGGGGTAGACACTGAGAAAAGTACAACAATGAATGAATGGAAATCCAAAATCTCTGTAAATTATCATTAAAGATTATTATTAATAATAATAATAATGTCTGGAGGAAAAAAGAGAGCTTTTAACAAGCTTTTAGCAATTAACCAATTGTTAGTTTTAAATAGAAGAAAACCAGTTGTTTTCGAGTTGATTCCAACTCATGGCAGAAATATATGTTGTAGAAGTGCACTCAAAAAGTAAAATTGGATGGGGAGTGTAAAAAAATCTTTCAGAAGCTGATTGATTGCCAGACCTTTCTTCTGTGTCTCCTCTGAAAGCTTTTGAAACGGCAACCATTCAGTTAGTGGTCTGAATGCTTAACTGTCTGCTCCACTCAGAAACTCCTGCCTAGGGATTTCCACTTTTAAGGAACCCAAAATGGACCTGGTTTAGTTATTGTTGCTTGTGAGCCATGTGTGCATGTCACAGGAAAGAGGGGAGCTAGATCAAAACAGCCAGTTGTATGTGTTTCTACTATTGGAATGTTCAAGACTGACAGTTTTGTCTAAAGCTGGCAGAGATTGTTTGCAGTTCTCAAGTCTCATTGCACATGGTTGGTTGTTCTGTTTGCCTTAAATAGAGGTTGGCAAATGATTGAGATAGGCAGCTGAGGGACACCATGATGGAGGAAGGTGTTGGCAGCTCTTAAAGATGACTCTTCCCCGCAATATATCTTTCAGAAGCATTTTCTTACCTAGTGATAAGTGATCCTATGCATTTATTTCTTCATGCATGGCTGCATTCAACAAACCCTAAACATACCTGCCAGTTGCTGTGGTAAACAATGTTGTTATTATGTACTATCGAGTTAGAACCAATTCATAGCTGACCCTCCAACTGGTTTTCATAGGCAGTAAATCACACGGGAGACTGTCAATCTTTCTGCCATAGAACAGCTGGTGGATTTGAACTACATGTCTTTGGGTTGGCAGGGCATATCCTTAGCACTAGGCCACCAGAGCTTCCTGTGGTAGGCAACAGAGATGAATAGATAATGTTCCAACGGTACGCAATTGAGATAGAAAGTGTCCTAGTCCTTCTACCATTCAAATTTAGTGAGGAAGGTAGATATATAACATGGAAGCTTAGAGTAGAGGCAAGAGAGGAGAGCTAGAGGAGCCCAAGGGAAAACTGTCCAAGGAAAAAGGGACAAAGCTTATGGAAGAAAGCTACTTTTGCACTAAATGTTGTAAGATATAGAAGAGTATATCAAGCAGAAAAGGGCTTGATGTGCCAAGGCACAATTTAGGGGAAGGAAACAGCAATGGCTTTGCCAGTGAATACATCCAAGTTCTCCTAGGCATTTGAACTGGATGAAATGTCAATTCAATTCTGTCTCCATAGTTTTAGAAAATAGATAGGTTTGGGATGCTGTTGAAAGGAATTCTTTAAGGGTTTTGTTAGTAAAAGCAGAAGGACAAAAATATTCAGTATAAAAGTGTCTGTTCAAGTCTGATTCTAGACTGAAAAATAAGTGCAAGTCATTCCAAGCCTTTGTCCATAATTTAGATCTAACCCTAGTGCCTGACTTTGTGATGGGACAGCACCATCTCGATTTCGTTTCCTGTTCAAATTGGTGTCTTTTGCTGTAAAGGCCATAAAATCTCCATCTTAAACAATTGGGGCTTAAAAAATGACTACATCTCAATCAAGAGACAGTTAAAAAAATTAAAAAAAAAGACATTGCAATGGACTTGTGACTAATAAATTAGTTTAGGGTCAGCAAATCCTCCAAGTTGTTCCCATCTGACAAAATCAATGGCAAGGAACAGTATACAAAGAGCTGAGGGGGAAAATACTTCTTTTAATTACCAAAATGTCCATTTAAAAGGTAGAGAAGCGAACATGGCTCTGTGAGCCGCGCGGAGTATGCGAGACTGCAGCCTGCGCATGCGCTCTTGGCGCCCCGCTAGCCCTGCCCGGCTCTACGCCTCTCAGTGCGTAAGTTCACAGACAAACATGAATGGGTGACAACAGAAAATGGAGTTGGAACAGTGGGAATCAGCAGTTTTACACAGGAAACTTTGGGAGATGTTGTTTACTGTAGTCTTCTGAAGTTGGGACAAAGTTGAACAAACAAGATGAGTTTGGTGCTCTGGAAAGTGTTAAAGCTGCTAGTGAACTCTATTCTCCTTTATCAGGAGAAGTGACAAGAGGTTAATGAAGCTCTTTCCGAAAACCCAGGACTTGTTAATAAGTCTTGTTATGAAGACGGTTGGCTGATCAAGATGACACTGAGTAATCCTTCAGAACTTGATGAACTAATGAGTGAAGAAGCCTATGAAAAATACATAAAATCCCTTGAAGAGTGAAAACAAACCACTAAAAGAAGTCATTTAAAACAACTTACTCCAGGCATAGCTGTCCTAAATTAGTAGGGATCGAATTAAAGCAGCTTTTAGCAAAACATAGTGGAAAACAGAAATGACATGTTGCTGGAAGAAAAGAACTTTATAATGCGTAAATAAAGCCAATATATACTTTCCTTCACATTACTCTGTGATTTTTTAGTTATCCAGAATTTATTCATTTACATGTGGTAAGAACAGTTCTACAAATTATGGGTTCAAGGATAACATTGATATCTTAAGTCTGATATCATTAGTACCTACTGTTAACATCTGTACCTGGATTTGGGTCAGAATACCTAGCGAACTTTCCACTAGAAATGATAAGTTTTTGTTAGCTGTCCACTGTCAGATTAAGAACAATACTGTCTTAATTTTGCCACCTTTGCTGGTGCTATTTTTTTACATTGAAGCAACAGCCTTGTAGCAAAATAAACAACTTAATAAAACATTCAACTTTTTTTTTTTAAAAAGGTAGAGATAGTGAATTGTCTCCATGAAAGAGCTAACAACTAGATCCATCTCTCTTTGCACTCATATGTGCAGGAGTGTGAAAGAGTCCAGGATGGGTGACTGCAGCAGAAATCAATGGAAGATTACTTTCAGCCACAGGCTATAAAATGTGGCAGCAGGGAAAAAGAAATGAATGAATGAATGAATGTGGCAGCAGGCATTAGTTCCACCCACAGACAAAAGCAGTTTCCCCTGCAAGGCATTATATATATTATTTTATCTAACTGTAAGTTATATCTAACTGTAAGTTAGGTAATTTCTTGTTCAAATTTTATAGACTCACCTCAATTGAGACTTGGTTAAGAGCAGAAACTTGGCTAAATACACTAAGGTAAAAGTTGCAGAACCAATATTCATGTGGACCCTGACTTGTGTATTACTTGTGATCTACTGCAGTAGATACACTGAGTAATAGCTGGAGAGTTGAGCAATCTGGAAGCATTTAAGGTCTAACTAGCTAAAATGAAGGGAGCTCTGGTGGTGTAGTCCATAGCAAGTCTTTGACTGTTGTCATTCTCCAATAAGCAATCTCTTCTTGTGCAACTTGTAATCTGCAGCCTCAAAAATCCGAGGATCATCCATTAGCTGGTTCCAACTTGATAGCGATGATTTGAGCCAGAATTACAGAACCTATATTTTGAGAAGACTTTATATAGAAATTATGATCAGGGGGTGAATTGCAGATTGTAGGAATCATAGCACTCTCTATGAAGCAGTGAAAAATAAGAATCAGATTCTCAAGCTTCCTAAAGGACTTCTCCATTGAAGTGTTTAACAGCTTATTGTCTTTGTGTGGTGTGGGGTCAATTCCCTATAACATGGAATAGAACTGCCTTTAGGGAAGCAGTTGGCCAAGTCTTTGCCTCACAGAGCCATGAATGGGTTCCAGCTGCCATCTTTTGGTCAGCATCTGAGTTATCCATTGTGCCTGATATCAGGGTTCCTCATGAGCAGCTTGCAAAAACTGTATGAGGGATATAGGAGTGACAATGTCTCATCTCCATTAACTTCACGAAAGGAAAGAATCTTCCTCAATAGCAGCAGGCAATTGATCCTCATGAGGTCAGACATGCCCCCACACTCCACATTCTGTTTCTATAATCTACTCTTTCTATTAGTCCTAACACCAGCCATCTCTCTCATACTACTCACTGGTTCGCTAACTGGGTTTGATGATTCATTGCAGTGGTCACAGAGAACTCAAACAATCCTCACTGCTACAGAGTTTATTAGAGAAGTAACAAGTTCCAATTCAGGATCAGGGATGACTCATGATACAGTTCTTCAAACAGCCATGCCAAATGAGCAGGCCTTTTTCTCCCTCTGACCCTTGGACTTTGCCCTCTCCAACAGGTATTACAAGGTTCTCTTAGCTCCACCAATTAGGTGCCCAGAGCATGCTCACTCAGCCAATAAGCCTAGGCTCTAAAGGTGCTTGGCTCTAGCAACATAGGTCAGCAGACCTAGCTCCCCAGGCAAGTGCTCAAAGACATCCAGTCCACAGCAAGCACCCGGTTTTATCACTTCATGGGCTTGGAGTCCACAGTTTGATCTGATATTGATCTCTGGTTCCCGCTACTTCTGCTGGGGTGGCCACTGCTATCTTGTCTCATCTTCTCAGCTCATCCCACCTTTCCTTCTCATTTCCTCATGGTCTTGCACTGTCTCTGGTTCATGTCAAGATTTCAAATGCAAAAGATGTGCTGCGTTATCTGGATGTTCTTTCTTGATGTTAGTGAGGGATTCTAATTTTCTGCCTCTGTTATGGCTCAATTTAAGCATGCTGAAATGGCAAAACTGACCGGTTACCACATTGGTATTCTACACATCTTATTTGCATAGACCCATCTGAAAGATGCCATTTACCTCATTTACATTATTAGCAAGCTATCATGATGGATGGAGAGGAGATTGAAACTGTCAACAGCTTCATCTTGCTTGGATCCACAATTAACACCTTTGGTATGAGCAGTCAGGAAATAAGGAGACACATTGCAATGGGAAAACCTGCAGTTAGAGACCTTTCCAAATTATTGAGGAGTAGTGATGTCAGTTTGAGGACTAAGGTGCATCTGATTCAGGCCATAGTCTTTCATATTACTAGCTATGCATCTGAGAGCTGGACAATGAATAAGGATGACAGGAAAAAAATGCATTTGAGCTGTGGTGTTGGAGAAGAGCACTGAACATCCCATTGACGGCCAAGAGAACATCTTGGAGGCCAAGATATGTCTTGGAGAGGGTGCAGCCAGAATGCTCTTTGGAGGCGAGAATGATGAGGCTTCACCTCATATACTTTGGGCATGTTGCTAGGAGGTGCTACTCCTTAGAGAGGAACATGATGCTGGGAAGGGTGGAGGGTCGATGAAGGAGAAGTAGATCCTCAACCAGATGGATTGACACATGACTGCTACAATGGGCTGCTGTGTGTCAGGAAGTGTGAGGATGGCGCAGGATAGAACAGGGTTCAGATCTTTTGTTCATAGGGTCGCTATGAGTTGTGCATGACTCTACAGCACCTAACAACAGCAATCCAATCCCCATGCTGAGCCACTTCACATATGCATAGTCCTAACCATCTATGTGATCCACTGCACCACACAGACTCACCTCAAACTGTCTCAAATGGACCACATCAACATCCCATCCTACTCACTCCTTTTCCTTAAAACCTTTCCCTCCTCCTGTGTCCTTTTTCTCAGGATGACAAGACCAGGTACTCAGGTGTAAAAATCAGGTAGTTGGAATCATCATTAGTTCCACCCTCTTCCTCATATCCAGTTGGTTACTACCTTTTTGACTTTTCTTCCTTAATACTTCCTGAATCTGTCTTCCCCTCACCCTTTTTTACCTCTCTTTCACCACCATTCCTTCCCAGGCAGGATAAGAACAATCCATTTAAATCTTAAAATGACCATTATCATTCTCCTACTTAAACACCTTCCATGACTCCCACCTACTCTTGGTATAAAGGCAGACTTCAACAGGGGATACTGTGAGCCTGAATTTCCTTACCAATCTTAATTTCTACCACTTGTTAAACCCTTGATTTTAGCTTCATATCTCATCACTCTTTCCACTTCACTGCAGAACTATGTAAAAGAAACTTTTGGATCCCTGGTGCCTAGTCCAGTACCAAGGAGCTCGGGGTCGGGGAAGGGGGACAGTGGTTAGGTCCTGGTTGTTAAATGAAGAGTTGGTGGTTTGAATCCACCAGTTGATCTCAGGGAGAAAGACGAGGCAGTCTGCTTCCATAAAGATTACAGCTTTGAAAACCCTATAGGAGCAGATCTACTCAGACAGGTCTCTATGAACTGCCAGGGTTTGGATTCGGTCCAGTGCTGAGCACACAGACGGCACTCAACAGATGCTCGGTGAATGAAGAATGAACCAATATATCAGTGCTATCTGGTACACATGCCCCAAATGGGCTTTCCCTGTTGATTAGAGACAGCAGCACATTCAAATTCTCCAGTCATTTTATGTCATCCAGAGATGAATGAATGTTTAGAAAATGACTCATAAAGGCAAAGGGGGAAAAAATAAGACTTTAGCAAAACGAAATGATGGATTTTCAATGTATTAAGGGTCCTTGTTTCCTTTAAAAACTATGTTTGTAGTCATTTAGTGTTTACTTACATGTGGCTTCATTGATAAAGGCATATTTAAGGTGGAATGAGAAAATTCATAGTTATGAATCTGAGAGGGAGGCAGACGGAGAAAACAATCTTCAAATAAATCTCAATTGCCTTGTGACTTGAAAGTTCCTGGTTTTGAAGAGCTTTGCTTCCACCTGGTGGCCTGGCCAGAAATTTCCAAATAAATTCATATTCACACCCAAACCCCCTATCCTTGGGTTTCTGAAACTGAGAGGGTGAAGCCAGGCTGCTCCTTGGAGGCAAAGATTCTGAAGCTTCGTCTGACATACTTTGGACATGTTGCAAGGAAGGACCAGTCCTTGGAGAGGGACATCATGCTTGGAAGGGTAGAGGGACAGTGCAAGAGGGGAAGACTCTTATGGATAAGATTAATTAACTCAGTGGGGAAATGGGGCGTAGGTGTGTCAAAGACAATAAAGTTGGCTCAAGAAAAAGCAGGGTTCAGAGCTGTTGTACACAGGGTCGCTATGAGTTGGAAGTGACTTGACGGCACTTAACAACAACAACAAATCTTTATGAGGAAACAAATGGACTGCTAACATTTTCCGTTAGTAGTCAAACACAATACGCATTATGCTACCAGGGTTCCTTAAGTTTGCATAGATTTTTAAAAGAAACAGACACATCTTGCAAACTAAGAGTGAAAAAAGTAACTTACAATTGCCAGACTGCTGTCTATCCTGCAAGGTTTTCACTCTTTGTCATTGTCTTTCAGTCAAACCTTCCAAGCCCTTTTGTAGTGTTCAAGGACTGCCAGAAACTGGTCACCCTGTTTCTCTTTCTTGCTTCTCTACAATTGGAACACCTTCCCCTGTGTACTACTGGTATAAGCTTGTGGGGGAAGACGCCATCCCAGTGAAAGAACACTTCGGTAAGTATAACCATCAACAGATCCTTGAAAACATGAGTATGCTGTCTGCTTCTCTACAGGCCCTTAGTCTTATAATTTCCTTAGAAATTATGTCCAGTACTCATAGTGACTATTGTATTGTGCCTATTAATACCTATGAGTCAGTTCCTATCTGACTGTACAACAAGTGGTCTGGTCTTCCCTTCAACCTCTAGGAAGTATCTTGTTTTGGATGTAGAGGTGGTGTGGGTGTGGAGGAAACAGGTATGAACCCAAATGGACCACATATAGGACTGTTCCAAGGGCTATAATTCAATCCAGGGCTTCTCAAGATTTGCGAGGTCACTGTTGAGAGGGTAGTGGATGCCAAATGATGTTCTACATTGCCATCATCTATACTCAGATAAGTACTCAATAGATTAAAAATAGATCTGAAATATATTTCTTGCTTTGACAGACCCAGCCACTGGGAATTTGGTTATTGGAAATCTGACAAACTTTGAAAAAGGTTATTACCAATGCACAGCTGTCAACAGCCTTGGTAATAGTTCCTGCAGAATTAACCTAACAGCTTCACGTAAGTTGACTGATATGTAATTTTAACAGTTTCTCTAAAGATCTGTGAGTCTAGGATAAATTCTGATTCATTCTTCTTGTCCTTCTGGGGATTTTTATGTTCTATTTCTAGGTTGACAAGATCAACCTAGTATTATCTAATGTACACATTGTATATGAGTCATACAGTGTCTTATATTCTTTATTCAAATGACTTCATTTAAACTGCACAAGAACTTCTAGATCTTAATAAGCAAAACAAAAGCCTCCTTGGTAGCCCCAGGCTGAATGTCCCTTTGTGATTCTGCTGATAAATCCAGGTGAAACTCTGGTTGCCTATGTCAAGCATTTAATTCCCAAACTTACATTACTGAGTAATTTGTTAAGATCTGCTTCTAATAATAGTAACAACAATACACCCTCACCCGTAACCTCAGCAGCGATTATTTGTGTCACACAAACTACGTGCCAAAACACTCTGTTGTATGAGCATGCACATACTCAATTCCTACAACTGCTCTATCTTAGATGTAGAACATATTGTCATTTAATTATCTAAAAAGAAATGGAAGCTTGGGGGGCAGTAAGTGACTTGTCCAGTGTCATCCATTTGGTCACCAATGGACCCTGGATGCCTCTAAACCCCAATCTACCTATTGAATGATGCATAAGAACTCTCTGGAATGCCTTGTAGGGGAAATGGTTATGCAATCAACCATTAACCAAAAGATTAGCAGTTTCAATCCACCGGAGGTACTTTGGGAGAAAGGTCTGGTGATGAACTTCCAAAAGGTTATAACCTTGAAAGCCCTGTGGAATGCAGTTCTTCTACTCTGCACACATGTGAGCAGGCAGAGTAGATGCCATGGCAACTGATTTTAAGTATTGATCACAATGCTTACATACCTACTTGCCACTGAGTTGAGTCCAATTCAGATCAATTCATTTTCCAAGCCTGTGTACTTTATGGGGAGCCAAGGGAGACTGCTTATCTTTCTCTTGCAGAGTGGCTGGTGGATTTGAGTCACTGACCTTTTGGTTAACAGACTGCCATATTAGGCAGTATGTCACTGTTGTTGTTGATTGTCTTCAAGTTGAGCACGACTCATAGTGACCCTATGAACAAAAGGCCTGAAGCCTTTCTATAACTATCGTCATTTATCAAAGTTCGTAGAGTTTCCAGAGGCATGTTGTGTAGGAAATGGATGCCACACTTGTTTCTCCTTTTAAGGGCCCCAAGATTGTCCAATTGGACAATAGCAGGGCAAATCTTCATAATGGATGTCTCATCAAACCTCTCAAGGTTTGATCATATATAACACACAGATTTTATATAACAGTTTTATATACATATATATCTATATCTCTCACATAGATAATATATAACAAGGCTTGAGATAGACAGATAGATAGATAGATAGATAGATGGATAGATAGATAGATAGGATAGAGATAGAGAGATCTCTCACATAGGTAATATATAACAAGGCTTGATATATCTATATATCTCTATCTATCATTTATTTATCTGTCTACTATCTATCTATCTATCTATCTATCTATCTATCTATCTATCTAGTTACATAGGTAATAACATAATAACCCCTAGAATCTTATCATCCATTCATTTTATTAGATTACTTGGAATCTATGGTTTTAATATTTACTGTGCCCAGGAGAAGCTAGTTCCTTTGGATTACTGCCTTTCCTTTATGTGAAGGATGTAAAGGGAGCTAAATTGTCAGCTTCCAGAGTAGAAAGTCAATAGAAAATGTCTAAACAGACAAGATCTATCAGAAAAAAAATAAATCATTAGAAAATGGAAGCAAATACCAGAATACTGGAGAGTGGGACTCACAGATCAATGGGAGAAAGGATTGCTGGGGATTTTTTTTGTCTAGTAAAGGGATTTGACTTTTAAAATTATTCACATGCATTCCTTTAATTTAAAAAGATCATTAAAAGATCAGACAACTAACTTTTTGTCTCAAAATATATGAGAAAGGGTACATTCAGATTAAGACAGACTAGGAAGAAGGATTGGCCACCCATTTCTGAAATAGCAGGCCTCTGAAAACCCTATGCACAACAGAACACA